TAAATTGGCATTTGCATAGTGCCAATACCTAAGGCCTGGATCCGAGACCGTGCGTTTCTCAGACGGTTCAGACTGCTTGCATTGACTCCTCTGTTAGCATTGCTTGTCTTCCAGGCCACAGTCACGCAGCCGCTCGCGCCAGAAAACCGATGGCATCGCGCACTCATACTGGGCACGGCTGGCATGTTTTGATGTTGAAGCGTAGTCACTGTCGCGGCATCAAGGAAAGCAAAGGTATTTCAAAGTGGCCCTGGCCAGAGATAGGATTACACCAGAACTGGCTCGTCTAGAACAGGACTCTCATCAATTGCTGCCTTGTCAGAACTGTCTGTTCCCTTTGGCTGCCCTTGCTGCATGTCACGCAGATGCTGATTAGGTTTGTTAGGTCGGTGGATCACCCCGAGATAGCCAAAGCACCGTAAACTACCACAATTCCGCAGTTTGGCATATGATCTAGGGTCATGCGGGACTTTGTCCATGCACCATTCTTGATCTGCCACTGGGTTTTGATTTCCTTCAAGATAGCCCGCTGTATCGCAATTCACTAAAGAAGGGTTAAAGAGCAACATGCAGCACCTGACGTTGCTTCGTTGCTTTAGGCCATGGACTTCGATGGTGCGCAGCTCAGAGGGCGTGGTAAAAAGGAAGCACGCTGTTTCATTTTCCGCTTCATTTCCGAACTTAGGCCTCAGCATTGCGTTCCGCTTGCTGCCAGGCCCTTCCCGTCATTCCCTTCGGTGTTTTTGTGCTGAAGTGTCGATCGTCCAGCTTCTCGCACTTCATTGTGTCAGGAACGGCTGGATGCCCCATCTTTCAGGCAAGGGCGTAGTGGCAGACAGGCCCAGTTCTTGCATTGGTTGACACCATGAGGTGATTCAGGTTCGACAGCGAGAAGTGTCTGGCCGCTGCAGATCCAAAGACTGGCTCAAGGAGAGCTCTTGTGCCATTGCCATGCTGCGTGTGCACATGCTGAGATTGAGAAAGGAGTTGCAACAAGCCCTTCAGGCCGCTTTTGTTTTTGCCCGCGTGTGTATGTGTGTGTATGTGTGAACTGCGGCGGCAACAGTCTTGGTCAGGAATCTTCTCCTGATGCTGTCCAGCTGCATGGCATGGAGAGCGAGGAAATGACATTTCAAAAGAAAGAGCATGGGATTGTCTTGTGCCGTGCTGGCGGTCGAGTTGGTTGCTGGATCTCGGCTCTCCGGGAGGGACCGCTGGCATTTTCTTCAACAGCAGGGAGCTGCATCAGCATACTTGTGCGTTCCAAGGGCCAATGTATGCTCAGCTCAGCTCCAACTGTAGCTTGCGTTTTCGGCAAGCCTCATTTCTTTGGTATGTCTGTCTCTTGAAGCGTTGGGAAGGCTTCCACATTTGAGCGCCGGTGTGAACAGTAAATGGTACTCAAGAGGCACAGGTTTTAGCAACCTGTTGCAATTCACAGCTATTGAAAGAGACATCACTTCCACCGCACATTTTCCTGGACGGTATACGTGGTTCTGCTCTTTCCGGCAGAAGGCTATTTGTGCTCAAGATGTTCCTGGCATTACTCAGATTCTATGACTTGCCATAACTTGTCTGTTGGCAGGTGGCGATGCTACGGCGCACAGTATTCGTCTGAGCAATGTGCTTGATCAGAGCAGGGGACCATTTTCATTGTCTCGGTACGAAGCGCGGCTATGCTGACAGGCTTTGCACTTGTCGCGCGGAGCGGGTGCACCAAGGCGAAGCCTCGATCAGTGACACGGAACCTTTCTTCCAGTCTTCATGTCAGTCCGCAGAGGTCTGAGGCGTTGCCAGACTCAGTCCAGCAATTCTTGCTTGCTTATGGATTTAGACTGTTGTCTGGCCAACGATGTCTTTTCTTTCTTGGATGCCAGGTGGGGCTTGACAATCGGGTTAGGAACCTTGCTGCCGGGCTTAGCGCTGATCAAGTGCCCTGCCTCAAAAATCTGATAGTGAAAGCCGTCCGATTCTTGTCCTGTTGAGGTGCTTCTATGTGACTGGCGCAGTTGAGGCGGACAAGGGCGTGGAAGAGGAGCCGTAAGAGGGCTCTAAGGAAGGCAGCTCGAATACAGCAGCTTTTTTTGCTGATATGGTGCGATAAAGGAACTCGGACAAAGCAAGGGTGCTGCGACAAAACTCATCATCAGTATGCCAGTATGCGAAAGCTTCATTGTTGTAGCACGAATTTCTACACAAGCCAGACGAAGTCTGTCAAGCAAATGTGCTGGTGGATAGTTGTGGGATACAGGCAGTGGCTCTGCTGTCTTGTGAACATGTTCTACCAAAACAAGCTTTTGTGAGTTGTGGTTGGAGTAGGAAACAGATGGCCTTACAACAGGGTCCAAAGATGAAAATCAGAATCTTTTGTAGGTGGCTGTCTTGTTCGATTGCGATTGCCTTGCAGGAGCTCTCCCGGCATCGAAAACTTCAAGAGAGTGCAATGGCCCCATTGAAGGATAAAGCTGCGGCAACGTTAATTTGTTTTGACCTTTGGCCGCTGTCAAGGACTCCAGTAAGCTGCCCGAGCGGCAACAACTCCGAACACGGGACGCTACCACTGTGTAGCACAGTGTGGAAAACGTGCGGTGTTCGCCTACAGTACTCCATCAGCCGAGTTCACCAGCTGCCAGACTTATCTTTCTCAGCTCATGCTACCGACGCCCTTCTGGGCACGAGGGTTCTAAGACCCCAAAAGCTTACAGCTGTTCGACACATGGTTCTCTGTTTTCTGTCCGTATCCCATGGAGATGATCATCGAAACGCATGCCCACACTTCACATGTGTCAGTCTGTTGTGAAGCAGCCAATGCTTCCGGTGAAAGAGCATTCTTTTTGGTGCCTGCCTCCCTGCGCCGGCAAAGCTTCGGGGATGTTGTGGAAGTTGAGTGGGGCTGCTGTGATGCTTTTGTCGTTGTGTTGGCTCCAAATTGGCTCTGCTGCAGCTGCTGCCTGCGACGCTGGCCGGCAGGGCATGCAGTCATGAAATAGGGAGCATGCAGACATGCAAAATTGCTAAAGCCTTGAGGCAGGATGGCTCCGCGGCGAGGAGGCGGCGGCGGTGCGGGCGCGGATGTTTCCTCGTCAGGCCAGAGCTTGAATAAATGTGCGTAGCCTATTCCATGTTTATGAATCATCATTTAAGGTCTGCGAGGCGGCTTGGCACCGCCTCCTCTGAAGCGCGTGCAGCCATGGCTTGAGGACGCTTGATGGAAACAATTGATCTAGAAGCGAAGCCGTCAGAAGGCCATCAACATCCTTCAGCTGAAATTAGACTTCTGGTTTGCAACACAGCACCAGCATCCACGGCTGGTTCTGCCACAAGGTCCAGACAGCACTTCAGCACGTCACGCACCTTACGTGAAACATTGTCTTTTTTGACTTCGCCTTTATTTGAGGATGGGTCTGGCCAATGTGACATCGTGGCTGGCGGAGTCGATGCTAGCGGCGTCTTCAAGGGAATCTATGTCCCTTTCCCAGAAAGGCTTGCGAGGTTAGCGTGGGAAAGAAGTGTGCCAGCATCGCGGTAGCTGAGGTCAGTGGTGTGCACCTTGCAGCCCTGCCCAGCTCCTGGCTACGGGAGCCTTTAGTTTGGCATTTGGCATTTAGCGTGAGCCTGAGGCTGCGCACGTTTCAGCTGTCCAAAGCGTTTCTCCCTGTGGAGACACCAACGCCAGTCCAAGCTCTAGGACCCGACGAGATGGCCTGCCGCCTGCATCCGACGGATAGATCCGAAACCAAGCTTGTGCAGGACAATCCCTGCAGGATGGCGTCCCTCTCGTAATTGTGACAAGAGGGTGCTTTGGAAGGGAAATGGACATAGGGCCTTGACCTTGGAAGATTCTTGCTTCGCAGCTGTCTGCAGCACTACCATACTCCCTGGCTAGTGGCACCCTAATAAGAGGAGCGGACCTGCACGCAACGATATTCAAAAGGCCTGCAAGCTTGCTCTTTGTTCGTGCGCGTTCGAAAGCGCTTTTACTTACATGCAAGGCAGTTTGGGAGGCTGCGCGACGAATGAGAGCTGACATGTTTGTACCTTAGAAACCTCAGCAGAGTTTGCACGCTCTACGTGTGCAAGCTTCGTCTAAGCAAAACTTGGGGCCATGGATTGATTGAAGGCATATTTGTAACGCACCAGGTTCTCCAAGAGCGACCGAGCAAGGGTTTGTGGACCCGAGCTATCTCTTGCCAGCCAGAACATTGCAGCTTTGATGCTGCCATCAGGATTGCATTGCAGCCGCAAAGTTGCCATACGTATGTATCTGGCATTCATGTTTTGAAGGTTTCGCACGAAACTCGGAACCTGAAAGGAAGGCAATGTAACAGACATACAAAGCGACGTGCAAAACCATCAAAACTTGACTACTTAGACTACGCAAAGCCCTGTCCTTAAACTCTTGAGCCAGAACAGGATTGTAGATGGAAAGATCTGAAGCATCACTTCGACTAGTGTTAAACCTTCCCACACAACAAGGATCCGTGAAATGCGTCTAGGTGTGTGTGTGTGGACTATTCAGACATTGGGGAGCTCTGCTGCGAACGTGAGTGCTTTTTGATGCTTTGTCGGTTGCGGTTCTTTGTCGAAGGCGTGCTGTGTCTTGCCGCTGCTCTCGATTTGCCTTTCTGAAGATGCTGCAACCATGTAGAGCTGAGGCCTCAAGTGCTTGTGACATGCATTGATGTCCCTGTAGATGCCGGGGCCGAGGCTCGCCATCAGATCTGATTACATTGTTTGCTTCCATCTTCCTACAGCTGCAAGGTAGTGAACGCTTGCTTGCAAGCACCCCTGAACGAATTCCGCGAGCTGCTTTACCATGTGAGCCCGCTGTCCTGTAGTTGCATGCAGGGTTTCTATGAACCTTCGAAGTCTCGCCTTGTAGTCTGCAAGCCTTGCAGGAGGGTGCCTGGTTTACACCTGCAGTGTACAATGCGCAGAGACCCTAGACTCCACTCAGACCTCACGCAAAATGCGGAGTTGCGCCTTGTGCTGGCCGGGGGTCTCTGTCCACGTAAGGTCAAAGCTTGGCCAGTGGGTTTCCAACAACCCACGCGAGTTAAAGACCAAGGGAGGACCCCTTCTGAAGTGCCAGAACATGGAGATGCACAGTGCTGTGGACCAAAACCTGGCTGCACATGATCACGTCGTATCATGAAGACCGCTTTTGTGAGGACTCAACTTCTCGAGGAAGAAGTTCGAGTGGAATAACAAAGCGTGCCCCAAAGCGATGACCAACATGCTGTAGCTTTCAGTTTGCTGTGGATCTTTGTGCTGTCAGCCTTCATTGGCTGCCTGAGTTGCCTGCCAGCACATCCCAAAAAATGCTTCCTCTAGAAAGCATAAGTCCGGCAAACCTAATTTAATCACTAACGCGAGTGCCGCCTCGCAGGAGAGGCGTTGGCCAGGGTCCGCGTCCATTCAAAACGAGAATATACTCACCCAGAATAAGCGGTCGATCATGAAGCAATACGCTCCACTGTCTGTGAGGGTGCAGCATCAATAACTGCTTGAGCGTGTGCCCAATCGCCAATGCTGCAGCTTCTCGCATCATTGCCAGCACTGCTATCTTCTCGGTAGGACTTCTTGAATGATTGGATTTCAGCTCGTACATTGAGTGTCTTAACAGCATGATCACGCATGGAACCATGCATGCTGATAAGTTGTGTTGAAAGATGTACACGGATGAACGCCTTCACGCTGAAACTCATCAAACCCATTTGGCAGCGAAGGTTTAGGTTAGATTAAACCCCAGGACCATCCAACTGGGCAATCTGTGTTGGAGGAGGGTGCCCCCAGGGGCTGGGGCAGGCTGCGCGTGCCCCGACGCACTGGTAACCCCTAAGTTACCAGAATCTTTCCCAAAAAATCATGATCGGTTCAAACTTTGGAATGGTGCGTTCTGGGAGGGAGGGGAACACATCCCGAATCGGCAGTCCTCAAATGTAAACGCCTCAGGCCTCCTGCCTCGGCAGTTTTTATCATGATAGCGTTGTTATTCAACGTGAGTGAGTCGTGTTGTTTTGCGCATGCACAGCTGCTTTATCGAGTTCTTTTTGTTGCCTAGTGCCTGCCTCAACTTAGAGTGGTTTCCTGCACCATGACGCTCACAAGTTGAGAAAGTCGTGTGGTTTATGTAGCAGCCAGATGGGCCTGCAGAAGCTGGACATGAAATTCATTTAGGATTGCAAAGCCTGACCTTTGAAAGCAACTTAGGGCTGTGCTTTTGATGCAGCTTCGTTACACAGCAGCTTGAAGCAGTGCTTTAATGAAGGTACGAGAACATGTTCTTGCTTGGCTGGAAGTCGGCAGCTAAGAGGAATCTGCCAGGGTCATTGAAATTTACTGTAACTGGCCAGGCCCGTCATTGAGTCCTGAAAAAGTACGCCATGGCGAGTGAAAGCTTGCTTGGTAGTTCTTCCATGTGCGAGGGGATTGAGTTTGGTTATTCATCAGAGCAGCTAGAGTAAGTGTGCGGTCTTGTGCGAACCCTGTGCTTGCCGCAGCAAAACTTGCGCTCGCAACGACATCTTGCCTCCTTTCAGTGACTTGTAGCTCCCAACAGTCGGAATCTGCCAGCGTCCTTGCACCCCATTTGGCTCCAACCAGAGTAGGGATCTTGGATGGAATCCAGGCCGGGGACAAAAATCAAGACTTGCAATGACATGAGATGACTGACGACTGCTCGATTATTTGTTCTTTCTCCTTGCTTGACGGTGACAGTCAGGACGTGGAGCAGGACCTGATGCCGAAGCTTCTCTCCTACACAAATGATTTCATAAATTGCTTTGATAGTAATAAATGACTGCAACGCGTGTTTGACTATGACCTGGTTGGCAGTATACAGTGGAGAATGGCCACTTTCTTGTTGCTTGAACACCTCCAAGGCCGTCCAGTTTCGGCAAGTTCAATGACCTTAACCTGACTCTGACAGACGCGCAGAAGGCAGAAAGGTGGGTCCACGGAAAGCTGCTGTCGATTGAGATCTTTGGCCAGGCAGATGGTTGGCATTACCCGATGACAAAGGAACAAGAGTGGGACGCATATGGCTACGTCGTTCGGGACAGCTATTGTTGGAAGTTGTCTTGCTCGTCAAGCTACTTACTTGTATCCGACCTCCAGGCGATAGTGAAACATGCCTCCAGGACCAGATACGGTTCAGCTTGCATGTTCAAGATGGCCTCGTTGACGTCGTTGAGGATTACCTTGAGACGGACAAAAAGGACATGCGCACAGGGGTGGACAGGAAACATGTTTTGGTGCGCACTGCAGTTCAGCTGGCCGGCGACAAGTTGCGGGCGCCCAAACTTCATAGGAAAGTCAAACTGTTCAATATGCTGGATGATGAACATCGATTGCACCGGAGCTGAGTTGTGATAGGTAGGGTTTTGCTCGTGCAGGATTTGATCGACATCAATTTGCCAGACAAGGAGGGCAAAACGCCACTCATGGCTTCCTGCTCAGCTGGAAATACATGCATCCTAACGCTCCTTCGGACGTGTTTTTTCTTTGGAGAGAGTGGAGGTGGCTGCAAAGAACGGTCACGTCAAGGCCTTGACAGTGATAAGCATGCAGAGAAGCCTGTAGCCGGCAATTCAGTGCAAAGAACAGCAGAAGAACCTGCATTGTACTTCTGCTTTCTTGAAGGCAACTGCTGTTGCTTTGAAGCAGGTGCTGGCAGCTCTTTTGCGGGCTGGAGCCGATCTTGGCCTCGTAGACAAAACTGTGAAGGACTGAGGTTTTGGCCCCAGCAGCTGGTGTGACTGAGTTTGGGCCAGGAGAAGAGAATAACTGCTGTCGATTATGCCCTGGGATGGCTTGACACTCAGATGGCAGAGCTTCTTGTGCTCACAGTGCCTGCTGATGCAAGACTGCACTGCATGTTTGTTTTTGGATACAGACAGGGAGGGTACTGAAGTTGACGCAACTCATTTGTTTATTTCTTTGAGTACTGTGCCATGGCCGGCGCTGCGAAAAAACGTGGCATTGCCGCTGCCTGGGCAGTTGCCGGTTCTGTTGGTTGCGGGGTGGTGTACACGCAGCATCGGAAGTTTGAAGAACGCTTTCCTTGTGTCCAGCTTGCGATCAACAAGCTCGAAGATCCGTCAGTACATTCAGGTCTTGGAAGCCGTGTTTCCCTGAGTGTCTGGCCACGACGTGGATACCTCGACCAGAATGCAGGCTTAATGCGAGCACATTTCAGGGTGCATGATCTTGACGGGACGACGGCAGATATACTGGTTGCAGCTCGAAGAGACTCCCGCAGCCAAGAGGCATGGGAGTCAAAAGAAGAGGATGATGCGGAAGATCAATTGAACTACTGGTTCCGCCCTTGGGAGCTCAAGAGGGCAATTCTTCAAAGATTGCGGCCGATTTCGCAGGGCTCCGCTGCCAGCGAGGCAGAGGAGAACTCATCATGGAATGTTGAGACATTGGTTGTTGTGGAGAGCAGTGGTAATGCTCAACCGCTCGTGTTGCAAGGGAATCCTTACGTATTGCCGGAGTATGAAACCATGTGCCTCAGGCGCGATGCTGCCTCCAAGAGTGACCGCTCAAGGACGAACTTGAAGGTGGCTCTGGGATTGTCCATCGTTGGCACCCTCTTGGCAGCTGGTAGCCGAATGTTGAAATCCATTCGCGTCTCGCAGAGTTATGGCTTTGTGCGACGCTCTGTGCTACAAGATCGCAGTGTGCAAGCTGTTCTGGGCTCTTCGCAAATAGAATCCTGCACCGGCACCTTTACGCCCACATTCATCAACGCACGCCTGCGGCTCGTGGGCAGCAGCGGCACCATTGCGGACGTAGTTGTTGCCGCTTCCCGAAAGTCGTCTCAGCATTTGTGGAATGTCGCTGTTGCTCGGATGAGCATAGGCGGAGTGTCATGCAACCTTGATTTGCCTGCTCGCTAAAAGTTGTGAAATCTTCCTGTGCCGTATCCCGCAAGATTCAAGGGTTTCTTGCTACCGCGGGACCAATAAAAGCTTGTTTATGAGAGCTTTTTTTTGTTCCTGCCAGAGGCCCCACCAGATTGGCAATGAGCGGCGAGACGATTGCCTGGAGATACTGACAGAGTTTTTGAGGACGGAACTGCCACTGTATTTCACCACACCTAGGTCTAGGTGCACATGCTGTGCATACTGCAAGGACAGGGCATGTGCCGGACGCCCTCTCGGTTCCTGAGGCTTCGTTGTAAGATGCACTCGATAACGTCAAGAACTCAAACATCAAGACTGACACAGGCTTTGTAAAGCAGTACTGCTCTTCCAGAGAGCTGAGTATACATGTAGTGTGCGCTCGGCTAGGGCACTACTTGCTCCCAGCCATGGTGCCCAAATCGAAAAAGGTTGCATAGTGCTACTGGTAGGATGCTGTACAAGGAGTGGCCGTACAACCTTTATGTCCAACATTGTGTTCGTTGCCACGATAGGCTCACAGCTTCGCATGCGCATTGCATCTGTGATCTCTAGTATCTCCAGAAGCAAGCTAAGCAATTACGCATCGTCGACGTGCCTGGTATTGGCGTTCTTTGCTCGGCTTCAGTTGGGGCCTCACGAGGACGACCCCCATATCCACGTGCCTTGTGGATCTACTACGGTCATCTTCGCCCCGTACTTGTACCAATTCTGGTGCATGTAGATTATGTAGTCTTGTCTGAAGGAGACAAGAGGATTCTGCTTCTGCTTGACCCTAGAAGCTGTGGCAAACGACTGCGCGCAAGTTGTGATCACTCCAATGTGTGATCAACGGCTAGTAAAGTACAATGCCAGGCTCTTGCTATGATAGGCAGAAATCCGCCCGTGATGTAATGGCAACCTTATCTTCATGCATTGCACCGTCAACTACATACTGATTCCCGCTGTCAAGTCAAGCCATCTGTAAAGTGACCTTGCTATGCGTAGGACCTGGTCAGCAAAGGCTCGAAGGCAACGAAGGGGTGTAACAGAATGCCTTTGTCCACCCCGTGCAGGCCCTTAGACTTGTGGAATTCATTTAATTGCAGAAAGGGTTGGGGTATTTGATTTCAGATCGAAGTTCTCCAAACCCATCATACAAAAGGTTTCATGCCTGTTGGTCTTGGCAGCTGCAGCTTGTGCCAATCTACCTTGTACACCTTCAGCCCAACGCCGGCCCAACAAGAAGCTGGGATTCAAAGCAAGGAATTGACAATATTATTTGAGGAGTACTTCAACTCCGCAATCCGATTTTCTTTAAAGATAGCAAGCTGCAGCGATGTATGAAGGAAAGCCCAACCCCGCTTTTTTTGATTTTTATGTGTGGTTGCAAACGCTTCCTGGCTCGTTTTAAGCTTGCTGTGTTGTTAAGCCATCGTCTCCTGACCAAAGCAACCAGTGGGGCAAAGATTTCACGCAATGAGGATTAAGGTTTGAAAGGCTGAGCTGCTTGAGGTCTTTGGTCCAAGCTGCTCACATGTACGATGACGTGGAGGTTGGGCAAGCTTAGGGTTCTTGGCATGAAGCAATAGCTTGCAGCAAGGGGTGTGAGGAGGGACCCCGGCTGGGTGGCAATTTTGCTCGATTTTGGGAGCTAGACTGCACCGATGGGAGGGATGGCGGGGGAAGGGGGGGAGCATGTCTTTTTTTGTGCCTGGGTGGTGTTTTGAAGCCTCAAGAGAACACGTCAAGAAAACGTAAGTTCGAGCCAAAGGGATGTGTTTTTGACATGCACCTCCTAAGGGTTAAAGACCTCCTTCAAAAGGGAGCGGGCTGAGGTCTTTGAAGGGTGTGGATCCTGAAGGTGGGGTTGGTAATTCTTGCATGAGTACAGGGCTATGAGGGCTTATGAGGGAACAGGGTTAAGGGTCTAGGGTTTTCAAGTATCCGGCTTAGGTTTATCTACGGGCTTCTACAGGGATCCATTGTTTCATTCCATGGGTACCACCTGTCAGCTGCTGGGAGAGACCTAGCCTGTGTAATGTGGGAACCTAAGTACTTTTCTTCTGTATGCTAAATCAAATGAAAAAGAAAGTAGAACATGACATGGAAGCTGGGCTTTAAAAGGCTTGTAAGGAATTATGATTCTACATTTCTTATACAAGCTCTGGTCTCCGATGCCTCCAATAGACCTCAAAATAATGTTGGCAACTTGACCTCAACCCAGTCTCCATTTCATCTTCCATGTTTTCCACTTTGATTCTCCATTATTGGAGGAACATCCCGAAATCTAAGCCTTAAACCCAACAAGCACGCCTGAAGCCCCTAGATGCAGGTCTGGCAGCTTGGTTTCCGTGTTATGTTGGAGAGAGCATCAACAGCTTCAGGGTTTTAGGGGCGCGTTTTGTTGTTCAGCAAGGCTCCTTACTGGATAGTAAGAACTCTGCAAGTTCTACGCAACAAGTGATCACATTGATTGCGGCGATCGGGTGGAAATTCCTCTCTAGACCCGAAACCCTGAACCCTAAACCCAAGATCTTATAAGGGAAGAGGGATTGGGTTGTATCAGGGCTCTAAGTGTATGTAAGTTTTAAGGTTTCCAAGGGCTGATGCGTCAAGACGGAGCCTAAACAAGTCCCAGTAGGGTCGGGACACATCTTCTTGAGTTCCACATGACACCCTTAAGCTCTAAAGACTTCGACTTCAAGCCAGAACTCTTTCAAGATCTTCTTTGCGCACTCTGCACGTCTTCACAAGCACCTGGCCCAGCTTTCTTCCAGCCCCCAAATGATGGCGCATTCCGTTGCCATCGAACGCCCATACTAGGTTGAATTCGTCAGAACTGCCTGCCTCGCAGGAATTGCAATTGCTCAAGGAAGCGGCCGGTGCCTGCAAGTTGCAAGACTCGGCACAGCTTGTTCCACGGCTGAAGTTTGGATGATTTGTGGCTTTGAGCCTTAGCTGATGTCTTTGAAAACTAGCACTTGTGCTGCCACATGCTGGGATGCCAAGGATGTGGGACAAATTTCACCAGAACATCGGCTGTTGGCAGCCCATTCTGCCCAGCAAGCAGCACGCTCTGCGCCCACAGCAGGCGGGGCGTCAGCAGGCCTAAGTTGCAGGTTCCATGCGGAGGGGGAACGAGGCTCATCAGTCCAAGAATTGGGTCTGGGCATAATTTCCTACACCAAGATGAGAGTGACAACTCTTCTGTGGACCCGTCATCTATCCGGGCTGATCACACATGTATCTGAGCACATGCTGCTTAGGTAGCATAGCCTCCGGCCTTTTTTCTGACAGCTTTCAATTCGTAGACTGCGTCCACAGGCTATCTTCTGCAGCAGCCATGGTTGTCGTTTTTGGTGACCCTCGCCTGCGACGAGGACGGGAATGTATACTTTCTGTCCGTAAGAATTTGATATCTCAGCAGCGAGCAAGCCTCGCAAAATACACGAGCTGCTCTTGGCTCAGCTTTCAACAAGTGCTTCGAAAAAGGTTCGAAGTCGCAGCAGGAAAGGTTGTGATGATAGTAAGGTTCGTGAAGCTGGGAGAGTGTTGTCATTCTGGGTTTCAAGTGTGGGACATGATCAGATGACAGGAGATGCGATTGGAGGGCAGCGGCATTCTTGCAGCTGCGGCGTTGACAGCAGCTGGTCATAACGTTGCTATTGCTGATCAACTGGACTCGGCCCGGGGGCCTCTTGGAGTTAGAGAAGATGCCTCAAATCAAGTGGCTCTGTCAGATATGCTCCGGAGTCTGATCTATAATGTGTCAATTTGTTGCCATTGCTGAGGTTGGCTCGCCTCAAGACAGAGCTTTGTCAAGATCATGTCTGCAAAAATCTGGCGCAGTGGTGCATTGAGTCGATTGCCACATACAATCCATCTGGCCACTTGGGGGGTGTCGACCTCAGCTACAAGTCACAGGTTGAACATGCACGAAGTATTCTGTGAAATTTGTAACGCCATAATATGTGCGTTTGTCCTTCCTGGTGATGACATGAACGCGTTGCTTACTGTTAATGCAGGAAGTATGGAAGAAAGCTGCAGAAAATACTGAACGCACAAAGAAGATCAAAGAAGTGGCGATGACCAAGCGCACAAGACGAGTCAGCACAGCAGTCAACCACAGAAATGGGTGTGATCAGGGAAACGGAATGGTGCTTACGGCCATGTCTCTGAAATCATCAAACACACACACACACACACACACCCACACCCACTTCGAACCGAACACACCCATGCTTGGCCTTCAAGCGCCTTGGAGAGAGTGACCTTTGTTTGAAGGCGCTCCATCCCTGACAATCGGGAGACTGAGGGGCGGTCTGAGGTGCTACCTACTATTTGTGATTGTTCGCGCAATTTTTTAAACACCATTGCTGTAAGTAGCAGATTGCATACTCAACATGGGCACTTGAGGCGCCCAGCCGTCCTTCATGTGTTCATTTGTTCTTCATATGACTCTGCAGTCCAGCTTACTTCAGGCATAAGGAAATGGAGCCCCTGCCGTCACCTATTTCTCTATTTCCAGTGTACAGTAGTATTTGCAATGTAGAATCTGTACCAAGCTTCTGCATAGACACCCTCCGAACATTGTCAAATCCTTGCAATGTGGAAGGCTAGCTGAGTTTCATTCCCAAGAGACCCTAAAGCTCCAATCGAGAAAACACCACAATGGTCCTTGCAGACACATCTCCTAAACTAAACGCTGGGACAGAGAGCACATTTGTTGCATCTACGGCATGTGCAACAGCGTAGAGAGATGTGTTTACAGTCTGGCCGGCACCCTGCGCTCTTGTTGAGTCTCGCTCGCAAGACATATTTGTTCTGCATGCAGAGCTGAGGTTGGGTCCCGCTCCTCGAGCTAGTGGTGGACGATGTGATCGCATGCAGCGTGTTGCTGGATCATGGAATTGCTGCTCCAGTGATTCGCGGATATGCCGATGCTCTTCTTCAAGATGACCTGAATTGCAGTTCAGGGCAATATCTTGGACCCATCGGGTGCATTCTGCAGTCCTTGTCCAGGTCTGCTAACTTTGTCACCAACGTGTGCAGGATGCCTGAGGATGTTGGCGCTCTAGTGTCCATGGCCAAGCGAGAGTTGCAGATGGCCGCTTCAGCAACTGCTGGTGCTTCATTCCAACTATCGTGCTTTGAGTGCCTTTGCAACATGTGCCGAGCTGCACCGGATGCTTGCTTCACAACTCTGGCCAGAAGTGGCATAATCGAAATGCTCAGCGAGGCACTCCAGCAGCTGCAGTACACTCGACAGCTTCAAGCTGCGGAAGCATTGTGCCGCCTTATTGACAGTCTTAGCAGGGATGATTCTGAAAAACACATGCTTCCAGCCAGTGCGTTTTATTATGTGGCCCTCCCTGGTACAATCCGTGTCTTAGTAGATATTGCGATTCCGAAGGATACGAGCAGGCTACAGGATAGATGGGATAAGGGCAGGGCCTGCCAACTTTTTCGACATCGATTGCCTTGGCTGTTGGCTGTCGTTGCACAGGCACCTGTTGACCTGAAGCTGTGGTGCGAGGAGAGTGTTGGAGTGCGACGACTGTTGAATTTGTGCTTGTCAGGTTGCAGTCGAGATGCAGTGGTGTGGGCATTGGATGTGCTTGCTGCAATGTGTGGGCGGGTGTCTGCTGTCGTGCTGTCTGAGTTTCTGCTTCGGACCCCAAATGCGCTTGTGGAACAGTGGTCACAGTTGGTGCATCGCGAGCACGAATCCGTCTTGTGCAGGGTTCTTTTTGTTGGTTTTTTCTGCGCGGTCTTCTTGCCAGACACTGGTGCAGCAATGGAAGCGTTATCAACATCTAGTACGCTTTTGGCCTGTTCATCGTTGCCATGGCGAAGTGAATCTTCCTCGAAACCGCTGGGACTGGCACCTGCCCAGAGGAGAATGGCAGAGTTGGTGGTCGAGACAGTGTTGGAGCTGAATTCTCGCAATGTTTGTGGGCATGCTTTCCGAACGGACGAAGGGCATTTCTTGAACGTTTTTTTGGCAGCAGCAGGATTCGATGCATTTCTGACGCTGCAAAGCATCGATGCCAACCAGCACGGGTACAGTGTGGGAAACACCATGCTACCCCAAAGGCAAAGACTCACTTCTGTTTTGGCGGTCTTGCAGGGTTCTCTGCAAGCCGTGTGCCAAGCAACTGGTCGACTGGCTCATTTGCCTCTTCCCACGTTAGGTCGTTCTCCTTCATCCATCATTGCATTATTGACCAGTATTCTGGATGGACCATTGACAAACCAACCAGGATGTGCATACCATGAGATACCGTTCGAGGAAACTAGCCATGCCGCTCATGCATCTTCGCAGGTGCAGGGTGCAATAAGCACAGCATCGAACATGCTTGAGGAAATTTTATTTCAGCAGCCTCCTGATTCACAACATAACCTGGCGCTCAGACCATTACTTGTGCTACAGCAATGCGCTCACAATTCAGGCAACCTCGGCCGTTTCCTTGCACGATTAATTTTGCGAGCATTCTCATGCCAGGAAGGGAGCTCAAAAGCAGACTCAGCAACACCTTGGGAAGTTTTCAATATTTCCCTGGAGAAGATGGCTTCGCTGGATTTGGAGCTGCGCGCAGCCAGCTGTGTTATGAACTCGTCCGTCCCCAGTCAAAGTTGCTTGAATGAAGCGCTAGTGCAGAACTGGACAGTGACTTTACTGGCCACAAGTGAGCTGAACTTCCAGGAACTTTGTCACTTCATGGCCTTTTGCAGCTTGTTCGTGGCCAATGCAGCACTTCAATGCTTGGCAAACAATTTGTCTGGGCTCGCGAAAGAAGGGCTGCATCTGTCCGTGTGGCCACTGAAGATACGCAGCCATGCTCTGGCATTGTTGGAAATGGCAGTGTCGCGCTTTGGCCATGATGATGATCACTGCAGCTCAGCAACTGTTCACTTCAACTTGTTGGTGTTGCAGCTGTTGTTCACTGATCCCCAGTGCAGATCAAGCAGGCAGCCAAGTGCAGCCGACGCAAACATGTTTGCTGAGATGTTTGCGTATCTTTGGTCACAAGTGCAGGTCGCTTGTTTGGACACTTCCCCGTGTTGCATGCTCTTGAAACTACGAGAGGATGCGACCAATGCCCTCCAGGCGTTTCTGCACAACCGGGACGTCGTTCATGTGCTAAGCCAGTCGGAAGACAATGCCTCTTGTCTGGGGGTGCTCCGCCAAGTGCTGCGAGGTGCAGGCGGCAAATTTCCGTTGTTCAGTCCTGTTGAGCCAGGAGCTGCAATTCTAGATTTAAGCGCAGAGACCTGGACCCCACCAGGTCGAGTACTGTTTGCAACTCTCATCCATCTGTGGCGTCTTCACAGACAAAATTCCGTGACAACATGTGAAGGCGTTGAACCTCTCTTCAGGCTTCTGTGCCCGGTTTTGCGAGCAGCAGTGTACACAATAGCACTGTGTGCTCGGCCGGCAGATCTCTTTGTGGGCCCTGACGATGTGAAGAGTGTGCTACAAGTTGCTGCGCAGCTTGTGGTTTCGCCGCCAACAGATCTGGTCGAAGCAGACCCAGGTGAGTGGCAACGATTGGGTGGCGAACTTATGGTGCCCTTGTTGCATCGGCCGACGCTGGTTGAAATGCTGAATGCTCCTGTGGGCGAAGTGTTGCGCAAAATTGAGCAGGGAAGAGAAGCGCTGGAATGGTGCGCCAGCTTTACTTTGAGTGGAGCTGGCCTTACTGGAGCTTTTGGCGCCAAGGCCAGGTCTTTGCTCGGCTCACTTGCCACAGACAGCTTTGAAGATGCTGGCGACAACACGCACTGGAAGTCTTGCTCTGAGTTGAAGTGGGAGCCCGCACGTCGAAGCTTTAGGAAAAGCGTAAGCCCCTCCTAAGTACATCTAAAGCATGGAGAGACATTGGGATGTGCAAGACAGCACCGAATAAAGAACCCCAAATGCCGCAGCAACACCTGCCCTGCACCCTTCCAATACCAATGCAAAGTTGTCCCTTCCCACACGCAGCAATGAAAGAAACAACGACAGGAGAAGGCCAATCCTGCTTGAAAATTCGATTCTGGAATCCTGCTCATGCATATTAATAGCAGTCGTAGCAGTTGCCACAAAGCGCGGAGCAGCTGTTGCATGAAAAGCTGGTAAGCCAACAAAGGTCTTGGTCGTTACCCTCATTCGAAAATGACATCGTAAGAGAGCCAGATGGGGACAACTGTGACATCCTATTGCTGGACATGCGCAAAGGGGCAGCGCCAAAATGCCAAGACCATGGCCAGCCTGATCACCTCAGCCAGCTCAGTCCACGAGGCGAGCAGGCGCGGCAGGAGCAGCAGGAGCAGCGGGAGCAGCAGGCGCAGTACCTGCAGGAGGACCGAAGCTTCAGTTTGCTTGCAGTCGTCGCTAAAGTAGCTTGAGCAGTTGATTTGGATATGTGGGTTTTGCATCGCATGTAGACTCAATGTAGACGAGGAGTTGTCGGCTCTGGATGCGGAGCTGGGAGCACTGGATGCTGAGCTATCTATGGAGATCGGCGCTGCTCACAAACAGGGTCTTCAAGTGGCAGATGAGAGCTTTGGATGATTTGTCATTTTCGGGTGGGCAGTGGTCTTGGAGGTGCTTGGCCGCTTGCTTGCAGGAATCGTCCACGTCCTGTTGCTGCTCACTGCGCCGGTGGAAGATTCAAAAGACGAAGACGTCATCTGTCTGCCAAGTGAGGGATTTCCATGAGCATTTCAGTCGCTTAGCTCCGCTGCTTGGTTGGTCGCGTACCTCTTGAGCGTTGATGTCCCTTCACCTTGACTGCCTGCAAGTTCCTAGGGTGTGTGTACATTTTCGCAGACGTCACACATCAGGTCGAGCACAATGCCCTCAAATACCGGCTTACACATCCACACAGATGCAACCATTCCACAGAAGCTTGCGTATTAGAAGCTGCATTGGATGGGGCAAGGATTTTGATGCAAACGGATCTGCGGCAATGCTGTTACCGAGAGTGTTGGATTGACTGGCGCGCAACTGCTGGAGATGTCACTGACCCGCACAGCGGAGACTAGCTCCCAATCAAAATTTCCCGCGGGTTGAAATTCGGTCTGGTTCGTATTAGTTGCAATCTCCGAAAGTCAGGTGTTCTGCAAGACTCAGCAGTTGCCCTCAAGGGAGCGTCAAGGGACCAAAATGGGAGTAGAAGGCTTTTGGAGTGAGTCATGTCAAGGCTAGAGGTCGCCCTCCAAGCATGGCTATATGGGCTGCCTTGTCAGGGGATGTCAGAGGCATGCTAGTCAGCACCTGCAGTTGGGCACGTTCCTCAATCTCCAGCCTACAGGGAATGCTGGTGTCACAGGTTGACTTTTCAATGTTTGCAGTGTTGTTTTGTGTTCTTTATTGCTGAAGTTGAGCACAAGCTAGGGCTATTGGACTTCAAGCATGGCAAAAAACTTCTGATAAAAGGGCTTCAAGGGAGCTTCAGGAAACCAGAAGTTATCGCATGCATAGGGAAGGAACATTTAATTGACCCACTGCTTGGTAGGCGTTATAGTTTTCAAACCGCTGTGAGTAAGCTGCAAGTACCAGCTGGACATTTGCATTGCTTTTCACAGACAGGCTTGAGACAAGATGTTTAGGACAGGAGCCAAAGGAATAGACTTGATAGAGATGTGGCACGTGAGTTTGCTGCGATCAATCAGCATGAGTCATGAGCAAAGCGCAGCACCTATGTGGATTCTGGAACCGAAATCTGGCGTGAATTGCTGTGAGGGGTCTCAATCTTCCGGTACTTGTATTGGCACTTCCAAGAATGCGATTTCATGCGATTTCATTTGGGGTCGCATGTGTATGATGTCGTGGACTCTCCCCATGAACGATCTTGCGGGCCATGATGTCGGCCAGACTTGCTCGTCCTGTCGAATACATCTTGAGACATCACTTCCTCAGTGTGCGGCAGAGTGCCAGAAGTGAGCATTTGCCAGGAGCTTTTGAGAAGGGGTGGTTCGCATCCCGTCATGTGCATACCTCAAGCACAAAAGACGGGCCTGGTTTGCCAGCACACTTGGTGTACAGGCCTGAGGAAATTGAGGATTCTGCCACCCTGCTTCTGGTAGCTCGCAGTGCTGCACAAGACAATCATGTTGATGGACAGTTCTGGAGCGCATGCAGCCGGAAGGCGCAGGGGCTCTTGGGGAGTGCGGTGAAGTTGCGAGACCTGGCTTTGTTCCTTGACGCGGCAGTGTCTGTTCGTCACCAAAACGATGAGCTCATGAATCTTGGCATGAATAAACAAAGCTCGTGCGGAATCAAGGGTCATCAGGATCGTTTGGTGTGAGTACTTTTCGCTTTCTTGCTTGATTTCGACTGTCAAGGTATAACTTGGGTGACATGGCTGTGCTCGCAGCGCAAAATGACAATTTGGATGGAGAAAGCCTTGCGTTTGTGCTGCGTGCACATGCCCGACTTCCGCTCAGAAATGATCGTATTCTGAGATCACTGGAGACAGCCCTCTTCGAGCTTTTGAAGCAGTCACGTGCCACTGCTGAGTGTCTTTCCAGTTCTCTTCTGTCCCTGGGAGAGATGCACAGAGCGGGACTTCTGCCGCCTCTGCCACCAGACAGCTCGTGTCGAAGTGAATTGGTGGATGGAGCGGCAAGGGTGGCATTGGAGCACCTGTCTTTCTTTACTGTTCCGCAGATGTGTGCCCTGTTGCGGGCATTTACTTGTTTCAAAATGAGAGGTGACCGTCAGGTTTCAGCCTTGTTGCTTGGCATCAGCAATGCGCTTGCTAGGCAACCTACCGCGTTGAGTGCCAGTGACTGCGCATGTGCTGCAAAGGCCTTTGCAGTCGTACGGGTTCATGACGAACGGATTTTGGCTACGTTAAGCAGCAGACTTCGAGACAAGGACGTGCGAGACGGCCTTTCACCACACGAACTTTCAGATGTTCTGTACGGCTTTGCTAAATTTACGAGCCAAGATACGGCTTTGCTAGATTTACTCTCCGTGCAGGTTAGGCGACATTTGCATGTGTTGGATGTGTCCACGATGAGTTCAACATTGGCATCCCTGGCCAAAGCCGGCATAAGCTGTCCGGTTTTGTCTGGCCGGGCCGTGCAGATGCTCCGCCGGTCTGTGAATTCAGAAGTTTCGGAGCCAGGCAGGCACCAGTGCGATTTGACCAAAGCGACGGTGGATGAACTCTCAACGCTGACCATGGCATTTGGCAAGTTCCAGGTGAGGGATTCCAGATTGTACGAGACACTGGCAGACATGTTTGTGACATGCACAGGTGGGACGAGCTCTGCGAATGCCATTGCAACCTTAACTTCCCCTGGCCTCGTCAATGTCATCCATGCCTTCACGAAAGTCCACATTGCCCCTGCGAGGCTCTTTAGCGTGGTCCTGGGTGCATTGGTTGACAGACCCGCTGATGAGTTTGCCCCACGTGATGCCGTCAAGATCCTGCATGCTTTGGCCAAAGTTGACTATGATATGCCGCCCAGCGTTCAGCAGAAGATTTTGTCTGTCCTGGGGCCAGACTGCTTGGGTGAGCTTGGAGTTTTCGACTTGCTGAAGCTTGCCACCGCTTCAAAAAAGCTGGGCTTGAACATTCATGCGCTGGAGGCACAGGTGGGTGCAGTATTGCCCAACGAGCCGCAATCCTTGACGAGGGAATCTCTTCAGCGCCGTCCTACAATAAAGAAGGTCCGTCGCAAAAGTGCGAGGAAACAGAAGTGGACTTGGTAAGCCGTTCCAGCTTAGAAGACCAAAATCCGGCCCCAGCAGAGGTGCAGGAAGCGCTTTGTAGGTGAATCACGTCAGCCTCCAGATGAGTCTGGAAATTTGCAAGCTGCAACTGGCAATCTTGAGTTGTTCCCTCCGTGGTTGTTCCCATACCGCCAGCAAAGCCTCATCGAGTGGCCAATGTTGTGATGGGTCGACCTCGTCATGGATGGATCTCGAATGTACGGAATGCGTCCGCGGGCCGATTCTGCGTGACATACTGACCTCTGCTTCTGTCAGCTGGTGTTGCAGAGTAGAGTGACGCTGAAGGTTCTGTGACATGTGCTGGTACGATGAGATGAAAGAAGGAGTGGTCTTCCATTGTTGGGCAGTGTGGCCTTCGGACCATGTGGATCTACCATTCTAAGATCCTCTAAAAAAGGGCTACACCAGCCTCTGAAAAATTGTATCGGTTGTTTAATAAAAAGTTATTTGATGGTTGAAAAGTTGTTCTGACTGCCCTCCATCCCATTGTATAGAGAAGTAGTGGTGCATGAGACAATTCTTTTGTCATGCTCCCGAGCTCGTTTTTAATTGCGAATGGTACAACATCAGGACATACGGAGCTGCCCCGGTCAGTTTATAGAGGAGGCTTTTTCGGACTTGCTGTTGTCGTGAAGCGTCATGAAGGGTGCCCAGGTCATTTCACAGTGGTTGGTTTGCTTCGTAGGAACGGTGGCTCGGTCATCTCATGGCGATTTCATAGGCTTCATTGCCGGCTGCTTCGAAGTAGCAAGAGAGTCCCAGCATTCCGTTTAGGGGAGAAAGACCGTCACGTGGGCATTCCATTTCATGACGTGCTGCTCTATACAGTAAATGCGCCCCTCATTAAGCGGGATCTATTTGATGGATGGATTCGACTTTTTTCGACTGCACCTCGGTTTTAGGAATTGGGGGTTGCTTGCCTGCGGTTCAACTTTAAATGCGTGCCGCAGCCGTGACGTGTCCAGCGGCGCCTGCCATATTGGCAGTTGCGATATGAAGGTCATTACAAGAGAGGAGTTGGAAAAGCACAACTCTGATGGCGATGTCTGGATGGCCATCCATGGCTTGGTCTACGATGTTTCCAAGTTTTTGCCAGATCATCCCGGAGGCTGAGAGAGGGATGGAATGAGAAGTCGCCGCATTCGCTGCCCTCCCTTTGCCAGGTGCACACCTGCTACAAGACGTCGCTGGTAGAGATGCTTCCGGAGAGTTTGAGGCCAATGTGATGTTAGAAGACGCCGCAGCCACTTCGTGTCCTGTAGGATGCGCTGCACTCGGAGCAAGCTCGAAAAGAGGAGGCCATTGTCTTAAAAGGTGTGCTCGAGGGCTGTGAAAAACAAGCCCAGCGCTCAGCAGCTTTGGTCGTTTCAACCCTTCTTGCGGAATTTGCTCATTTTGCCTTTGTGCGGTCCGTTCTGACACCGGCAGCATGTCGTGGCAGTCAGGTCGAGAAACACAAAGAAGCTGGATGGACCGAAGAACAAGGAATACCAGATCCAGAGACGCAGGCCAAAGAAGTTCATGTTGCAGCTTTGCAACACGTCTGTATTGCATGAAGATTAATTGCAGGAAGGGGGGGGCTATGGATCCTCGCGATCGATAGCAGCCATTGTACTGCTTGCAACATGGCTTGAACCAGCACTGTCTTCCTTGGCTGCTTTGCATGCTCTTCCAAACTTCGAGGGAGACTTACAAAATCAGGTTGGCAGCCTCGGGGCTGCGCTGGCGGCAGTTGCCTTCTTGAAGTCTCGCAGGAAGTAGGTCCGTCTTCTTTTGTCATTGCCGAGCACAGCGAAGCTGACATGGCAACAATGATAATAGCTTGCTAGGGCAAACTATCAACATAAGTTATATCCGCTCCTCGCAATTGGCCAACGTATCTGTTTTCCACAATCCGGAAACAGATTGTTGGAATCTACCAAGAAACCACTATTCGACGCATGCCACGTCAGAAATGCCCTTGCTGCGGCCGGTCGTGGTTCTTACATGAGGAACTGAGAAGTCAATAATGGAGAGTCGAGAGATTTTATATTAAATTCTGGAAGAAATCTCCGGAGAATGATATGCGATGGCGGCGTGGATTTTTAGTAATCAAACTTCAGATAGAGAATCTCAAAGATTCTTATCAATATTCTTATTCAGATCTTCTTGAAAATACGAACGCTGCAGATATCTTTTCTGAATATTTTGGAAAGATTTGGAAAGATCTTTTGGCTTCAGGAAACTCAATGAAGATTCAATTACCGGAGAAGAGAAGATGAATAACAAATAGGAAAGATCTAGCTTTGCCGGAAATCTCTTTCATTTTTTAAATATAGATATTTAATAGATATATATATATGATATATAAATATAGTATCTCTGATTTCTATTTAGATTTTTAATATTTTTTCGGCACTATATTATATTAATTATAATTATTCTAGACTCTCTTTTCTTATATTTCCCTGACGCCTTCTGCAAGTTCTTTCTATTTTTTTTTTCATAAATATACTTCTAATATTATATTATTGATAGGCAAAAAAATTAGATAGAAGAATATGATATATCTTATCTCTTTATATCATTTTATTTTTCTATTCTTTTTCTTTCATTAATTCAGATATATTATTATGGTCTCTAGATCTCACTCAAATTATATGATAATTATTAGGATAATAATTCACGATTTTCTATAATCGTATTTCTTTATTGAAATAGAGAAATATATAATTATTTTCATATATATATTATTAGATGTCAGGACTTAGATATTATATATCATTTATTGAAAATACGACCTTTAAGGTATTAATATCTTTCAAGAAATCTTTTCATATAGATATCTTAGAAGGAGAATTCTCTTTATATGATGAATCTATGTGAGAATATTAGTCTATGAGGTTCTAATTCTAATTCCCGGATCTAATAATAGATTAATATAATTTATATAATATTTTTATTGAAAGGAATATATTGCTTTATAAATCTAGAATTATCTTAGAAAATCTTAAGATATATTGATTTATATTATTCCAACCAATTGAGATAAATCATCATATATCTATAGATAGATTAGATCTAAGATATTAAAAAAGAATTTATATCCGGAGAGATACGGAGAGATATGGGAGAAGATTGATCAGGCGCTAATATGCATATCCTTCATATTCATGATATTAAATATATATAATTAGATTTTTTGGGATCATAAAATCCTTTGATATATTTTCATCATTATTCCAGAGGAGATCTATCCCAATTCAATAGATATAAATCCAAGACTTATATTTTTGAGAATTTTGCGATTTCGTATTTATAATATTAAATAAAAATATAAGATATTCTTCTCTAAAAATAGAATTTGAATAAGATATAAATATATTAGAAATTATAAGAAAAAATTATCTAATTCCTTAGATTTGATTATATTAGAGATCTTCAAATAGAAGAATTTATCAGAAATAATTAAAAAAATGAATCATTCGATCACAAGAAAATTTAAATAGAATAATCTTCTATAATTTCTACGATATATTGAGATATTTTAGATTTTATTGCCATGCCAAGAATATAATTTCGATCTAACAGGTGGGTCTCAGGGGTTGCGAGGAAATCCAATATGATTAAAAATAATCGTAAGATAGGCCATATTATGGAATAAATGAATATATTAATATAAATTCATATTTCTTTAAGATTCCAATAGAATCCTCAAAATGCTCAATAGAGAGAGAATATTTATATCAAATAAATCGATTTTTCGTCTTATCATAACGTCAAATTAAGTGTAATCGTCCAAATAACGTCGTATATATACGATCTCTTCTAGCCAATTTCAAAGCACAAATATATTCATTTTTATACGAGCCTCCGTCGGAAAATATATAAATTTATATAATTCTAGAGTGGATCCGCTGCTTATATCAGCGGAGCATCGTTATTGGAGTATATTCGTAATATCAAGCTAGCTGATGGGGAGGAAAGAAATACGTAGAAATCCAAATCCTTTTTCCTCATAATTTGATATCCCGCATCCTGAATATATATTGATATTTTGAAATGGAGGGCAAACAAACTAACAACAATTGAGGAAATTACGTATTTGAGGATATTGCTATATATATCAAATTATTCCTCCGAGAACCAGGGGTCCATCTCGAGGCATTCCTGGGAGGGACGGATTTATAGATTGGAGCCCAAAGATTTAGAGAGACGTATCAAATCTGACGATTTTTCCCAGGCAAATTGACGCGGTCTACTTCTATTTCTCGTTCTATGCGTACCCATATCTATAATCCTCCTCAGATATATGAAATTCTACCTTCAATTCGAAATCCGAATCGCGATGCGGCTCTACTTCTCTAGCTTGATAGAGCTGGGAGCTCTATTACCTTGATATTTCAGGAAATACCGTATAGTAGCTGCTTATCTTATGGGAGAGCATCTTCAAATCATTTTATAAGAATCTAATACGGCAGATAATATTCTTGCTAGCTGCGGGTATTCTATCGCTGATCATTCTTCTGAAGCTCGTCAGATTCTCGCGCCTCTGAAGGGGCTTGCTCAGGAGCGTCATCATCTCCAAAACGTCTACGTATCGCTTTCTCCCAACGCCCTCTTGGCAAACGTCCATCAGAGGATTTCTTATTGCAAATTGAGCAAATAACGAAATGGCGTCTTCTGCGGCAGCAAGCTCTACGAAATCCTGAAAATTGCGGCATCTTTTGATTTTTGTCATGAAGCTTAAAGCTCTGAGATTTAGATTGAAGATTTCAGGAAAACGGCTAAGCTATAGATTCTGAAAGATTTTAGCTTTCCATCTCGGATCTATATATTCCGCCGAGCCGCTACGTAGACAACCAATCTCGGGAGATTTTTGGTCGTGCGACCCAAGATCTCCGGCCTGATTTTTCCGCTTCATTTAGTTCTCTTGGGCTAATAATTGCGCGGCTCGGAAGAACGTATATATACCCTTAGATAGACGTGACCATTCTATAAATATAGAAAGATTTAGGTCCTCCGTTCTGGTCTGCACGTTCCGCCGACCAGCCGCGCATCCAATCAAAGAGAGATGAATCATGCTGAAGACCGTTTCAGGAAGGGGGAGGGGCAAGGACCGCAATCATCCAAGGAGAAAGAATTAATACGAAATCTCGGAAGATCTTTTCCTGCGGCCCAAAATCTCCGACCCTGAATTTCCGCTTCATTTATCTCTCTTGGATTATTTCTTGCGCGGCAGATCGGGAGAGCGCATGACAAATACGACTTTCTTGGATCTGTACGTCCGGCCGAATAGCCACGCAAGCTGCCAAAGAGAGAGATAAAATACGCGGAAAGCCGCTCCGGGGGAGAAGGGCCGCACGACCAAAAATCTCCGAGATTTTTGGTCGCGCCGCCCGCGCCAAAAATCTCGGAGATTTTAGAGCCTCTAGCTTTTCTGGAAGGCTCTAAAATCTCCGAGATTTTAGAACCCCTAGGGAGCCCGCAGGAGGTATTTTAGAGGCGAACCGGAAAGGCTAGGCCACGCGCGGTTGAAATAGCCGCAAATGGTCGCAACGTAATATTGAGATACTAGAATTGATCCGCTGCCTGCAACAACAGAAAATATTTGCTTGAGAATACGTATAATGGAAAATAATTGATTGAGAATTTCTATAATAGGAAATCCGATGAATAATAAATATATAAATCCGCATGAGGCAATAATAACCAATCTTTAGATTTGGATCTCTGCCCCGGATCTATATAATCCCAGCAACAGCCGCGCGGATGGCCAAAGAGAGATAAATGATTCGAAATCTCGGAAGATTTTTGGTCGCGCGGCCCCGGAGCCGGCCCGGTCTTTCTTCTTCATTTATCTCTCTTGAATTATCTGCGCAGCGGGTCGGGGAACGTATAAATCCGCGTAGATAGATACGGTCAATCTACAAATTCTGAAGGATTTTAATTCTCCGTCCTGGGTCTATGCGTTGCCCCGAGCAACCGCGCAGATTACCAAAGAGAGATAATCATACGGACGACCTGCAACCTCTAGAAAAATCTCCGAATTATTAGAATCCCTGAATATCCCGCAAAACATATTTTAGAGATGAGTCGGAAAAGCTAGGCCGCGGATATCCCGCAAAGGATATTTTAGAAGAGAATCGAAAAAGCTAGGCCGCGGTCGCAAATGGCCGCGCCATATTATTGATATAACGAGAAGCCCGATGACCAATAAATATATAAGCTCGTACATGAAACCCGACGAATAATCCGCGTATAAAACCGCGCATGACAAAAAAACGACCAATCCATAGAATCTGAAAGATTTTTGATCTCCGCCCCGAGTCTACACATTCCACTGAATAGATGCGCAAAATATTTCGAAATCTCGAAAAAAAATTTAATTGTCCGGCCCGAATTTTCCATTTCGCAACGATTCGGGAAAACGCATAAATCCAAGTAGATAGATACGACCAATCTGCAAATTCTGAAGATTTTTGGATCTCCGTCCCTGGATTATGCGCTCCATCGAATAATCGCGCAGATTATCAAAGAATAAAAAATTCGACAAAAGAACGTTCTTCAAACAGAGGCCGCGCAATCGAAAATCTCAGATTCTTGTTCGCCCTTCTCGCCCCCAAAATCTCGAAAGATTTTAGAGCCTCTGATAAATCGCGAATAAAGTGACTACGCGCAATATTATTGACGTAACGAAAAATCCGATTATTATAAATTTATACGTGCAACCCGACGAATAATAAATATATAAGACCCCACGTAGCCAAAATCAACCGACCTAATAAATTCTGAGAGATTTTAAATCTCCCTCCAAAATCTATCCCCGCAAATAGATGAAAAGAAAATAATTAATCGAAATAATCGAAATCTCGAGAGATTTTAGATCGTACAGCCCCCCGTATCTAGGCCAATCTTGCCACCTCATTTATCTTTCTTGAGCTATCTGCGCAGTAATTCAGAGGATATTTCTCCGTAGACAGATATAACCAACCTAAAAATTCAAAAAGATTTTGTTGCTCCGTCTCAATATATGACTTCCGCCGAGCAGTCACGTAGATAATCAAAGCAACAAATAAATCACGCAGAAAAATACTCCGGGCCGAAAAGCCGCGCGACCAAAAATCTCGGAGATTTTAAGATCCTCTAATTTATCTGAAAGGCTCTAAAACCTCAGAGATTTTAGAGAGTTTAGGGAGCTCGCAGGAGGCGTTTTAGAGGGGAGCCAGAAAGCCTAGGGCCCGCGCGGTCCAAATAGCCGCAAGCGGCCGCGCCATAATATTGAAATATAAATATAACGTGATTTGATTTTAATTTTGTAGAAAGCAGAATCAAAGAAATATTAATAAGAAAGAAAAATTAATATCCAAGGCCCTCCATCTTAGTAAATGAAAATGGATTCATTCCAGGGCGGAGATTTTCGTATCAATCAAGCCGTGAAAACGTATTTCAATATATTATATATATTCCAAACGCGGTCGTCATCTCCGAATCTGTAAAAAAGAATCATCATAAAAAATAATTTTAGAAGGGGGCGTGCCTCGCCTTAAAGGATATTTTAAGAAGGGAGAGCCTCTTACGAGCCCCATATGCCTGAATTACAAATCCGGAAAATGCTGGCTGGCCAACTGATACCGCCCATGTACAGAACGCAGGAACGCCTTTCTTCTGAGCAGGGAAGAGCTTCAGGTGACTCTTCGCAAAGTCAGGAAACTGCCCGGGAGGCGAAGAGCCTAACACCATGTTCCGCCACTTGAGGCAGTCGGCAGGGGTCACAGTCCTCGTGACCCCTTTTCCGTGAAGCTCTTCATGCGTCTCAGCACCTAGTCCTCGACTCCTTTGCCTTGATGTCTAGACAGTGTCTAGGCAAGCAGCCATCAGTGGCTGCAAGCTACTCAACCTCCATAGAGGGCTCCACCGTTGCCCGATACCTGCAGCTTCAACTCTCTGCAGTATTCTATGCTGGATTGCACTACCCACAATCAGTGGCCTTGAATTTGGTTGCGCCAAGAGCTCTTCACGGCGCCCCTCCTATGCAGGATTCAAGGTGGCGCATGTAGCATTCGCTCAGGACCTTCTGTGAAGCTCCTCCACCACACGACCGTCTTCCAGCATCACAATGCGATGTGCCCTTGGACAAAGTCAGAATCAGAACTTCCGGATTTTCGTCGGCCAACTGTCGCACTCACATGCAACGTTCGTCTCTCACACGCCTTGCGACAGTTCTCAGTCGGTGCGCTGCGACCTCAGCTTTTGACGTGATTACTGTGACGTATTTGATTGCATCCGGTCCTGCTGCTGGGAGACTAAGACTGCGCGACCTTGTGCAGCCAACCTTGACAAAGTTGATGCGACCGCTTCCTCCAACACATGAATGCACGTCATCTGCACTCTTTGTCTCAGCGCGCTAAAGTACCGACTAATACCGACTAGATACCTGAAGTGTCCCCCATTTTTGTCCCCTCCCCCAGTAATCATTAATCAAGATGAATTAAAACAATTCAAGGGTCCATAGTCAGGGATCTTCAGTTTGAACCTTATAGCCTTTGACATTTTGGTGGCTGTCTGCCATTTTTATGAAGAAGACACACATTGCTGCAGCAAGGCTCGGTTTCTTAGTCTGCCTTCACGCTATGTGTGCAGCGGCCTACTAGCTGCACCGAGAAAGTCCTCGGTTTCCCCATCCAGTGCCGAGGTTGGCTCGTCCATCAGGAGCACCGGTGCACCTGAAACGCAGGTCTAGCAAGAGGATTCAAGGTTTCAACAGGACGTGTGAGGCCCTGCGCTGATTATGGGTGAACTGTTATGAGAGCATGCCTTCCAACGTTGCGACTCAGTGAGTTTGACTTAAAATGGCGCGCTGCGCCACAGCCAAATCACCTGCAGACCATCCTGGACAGTAAAAGAGAGCGACATAACACCCAGCGCCCATGTCGATGACGGCGGCCAGAAAGAAACTTTGTATTCAGATATGCGCCGTGCCACAGTGAAAGACGAGAGGATGCAGCCCCTCTTGCTTTCCTACACTGAATGACAGAGCCCTCTAGGCTAATTGACCATCCTTCTCAAAAGACTTGCACTCGTGCACGTGCCCTGCCTCTGGCAATTGCTCTTGCGATGGCTAGCCTCAGGCAGTCCAAGATTAGGACTCTTCAAGTCCGGAGACTCATAAGAGTGCTGCTGCAGGATCGTCTGGTCTCACAAACAGCATCCAACAACTATGGAAGTGAGCTCGCAGTGCAGCCAGCAAATGCAACCTCGAACATTGCCGAAAGTACGTACATGTGGAAAAACATGTGCACAGGCATGTCTTGTTGCTTGGCTTATCTCATGCACCTAAGGTTTGCACAAGCATTTTCAGGAACTACTGTTGGCTTTTGTAGCAGCAAGAAATCTGCCCTCGCGTTTTCTGGATGCATGTTGGACCGCTGCCACAGGATATGCACTCACACGCTTTGGAAACAACACCAGTCCACTTAGCATCTGTGCTTTTGCCAGCAGATGCCAGCCAAGGCAACGTTGTGGACACGTGGTGCCCTCCATAAACAAAGGGCTCTCAGTTCTTGCACATCCTGCAACCTCGCGGAGCCAATTGGAATGTGCTGACATATTCTAGCAACTTGCGCGAGGAGCGGCCTGAGGATGACCCCAAGCTGCAATGACACGGGTAATTTTTGTGCGATTGCAGGCTCATCTTTCACAAGCCCCTGTGGCATCGTTCTGACACTGCACTCGCTTCTGCGAGGGTTGTTCTTATATAACATGTCGAATACTATACGCCCAGTTTTGACACCTTCGAGAAAGCATAACTTTAGACTCATGCACTCCTCCAGGGCAAGCTCATGCTTCTGATCTTTACACGACAATCGTCGAAGGGGTGTTGAGGGGCTCTCTCTACATTTCATTTAGAAGTCTGAACCACGACCAGCATGTCCCTCTGCACCTTCACACCGTGGGCTTGCCGCCTCCTCGAATGATGTTCGGCCAAGTGGCCTCTGCCGCTGGCCTCCTGAAAGGCGCGAACCCCGCTCACCGAGGGGCTCATCCACTGGCAATGCCTTGAGCTGTCATCAGCTTCACGGATACCATGACCCAAAATCATTTAAGCTTCTTGTCTGGTCTGCCTCAACGAACTTTGTGGCCTGCGCTGCCGCGACCGCATCAGCGAGTAGCTCCTTGAAAGGCTCCGGGGAGGACTGTCTGTGCCCCAACCCCTTCAACATGATCTCCACCACAGGATTGAAGGACCTTCTTGTCAACGCTGTCATCGAAAGTGCAGCCTGGATGGAGCATGCGATTCCGTCCCGAAACATCTCGAACACAACCCTTTTGACTCAGTGTGCATCCATAGCCAACATTGTCCCACACTGAGCGGTCAAAGAGCGCAGGTTCCTGCTGGGAGTCTTGTTGATTACACTTACTTGAGCACTAGACACCGCCAACCCACCTGGTCCACGACGCCAATGCAGCGGCGGAAATCCTTTTCTGTTCAAGTTTTACTTATGCACAGGTAGCCAATAATGGCAAGGATCGCGAAAACAAACTCAGCGTCTGTTCTCCAAAGAAAGCAAACCGCAGAGCAACAGGGCCTTTGTAGCCTCAACTGTTCTGAATTTGTGGAATCGGCTCAATGCTAGATCCCCGCGCTAGCGAGACTCCTGAAGATCAAGATCTCGCAGTTCATGGCCATCCAGACGAATAGATCCATCCTGCGAGCTCGACCGCACCAAACTAGCAGCAAGCCACGGCGCTCTTAGCCACAATCTTGCTAGCAACTTCAAGGAACGGACTTGGCGCTTTCGGTAGGTATGCCCAACCAAGTGCACATTATGAGCGCGTGGTGCTTGGCTATGCTCTCTGGGTCATCCCAAGGAGTTTTGCTCGAGCTAAGGGTCGTTCAAGAAGGAGTCCAATGTCTGACTTCCCTTGAGCTGATCGTGCCTGAGGATCTGCAAGACGTGCACAAAGGCGGAGCACCGAAGACTTCCCTGCACCACTTGCCTCGAGTTCCACGGATTCTTGCGGCAGATGTGGCAAAGAACATGGCAAGATCTGGGAATGCCACTCCCACCAGCGCTACGACTTCGCCTGGTTGTACGTCGAAAGTGACATCTTGGAGGGCCCATTCGTCCTTGCAACGCTGCAGCCGACACTGGTTGCAAACACAGGATCAGTTGCCAGGTCCTGGTCAGGGTAGCGGAAGGACACTCCTTGGAGTGAGAGTGTTCCTCGGACGTGGGACAGCGGCAGGCGTGTTGCGGACGGCTTCGAGGACCTGGGAGTACCAAGGAGGTAAAAAACAGTTCAATTGCCTCTGCCGCCTTACGCCGCATCTGCAATTTCAAGCGGCTGTTACGTCTTCCGACATGTTTAGTCTTGCGCATTTGCTCGCGTCGAAGGGGCTCCAGGCTCAAAACTACAACGGTTCCTTCTGCTGCGACACTGCCTGAGCTGCTCCTTTCGCACTAAAGACTATAGGTGGCGAATCTTTGTCCGAGCTTCACATGCAAGGCGGCATCACAGAGCTGAGATTGCTCTTTAGTTGGGCAGTCGAGCTCTGAATTCAGATTCTTGATTGCAAGAAGCTGCAATAGAGACCTGCCCATTGCATGCACAGTTGCACGTGAGGTGTGCAATGGTTTATGATTTTGTAAGCATGCCAGTATGCCAAGGCCATCTGCATGTGACATGTCATTCATTTTGAAGCGCAATGCGCAGTGAGCATCCGGCACGCTTGGCTGACGATCTGTGAGGTCGAAATATCTCTGAGACACCGCCTGCCCAAGATCGGAACAGCACTTGTTCTCAGGAATGCACTCTTTCTTGCATAGCTTCTGGGCCCACCGAGTTCCCAACCTGCCTGTGCCCGAGATACCCCAGTGAAAAGTTCAGCCAACTCCCGAAATCCACGCCGGTAGCTCCAAAGCAAGGTCCTCTGTGCAACAGACTATTGCAGCTTGTGCACAAGAAGTACGATCGAATCATGTGAGACAGCCAGACATGCTGCACCACTGCTGAACCCCAGGTGGACTGGGAACTGATTATTGGTGGATTGCAGTCATGGTGAGGCCTTCCAGAACTTGGGCCTCCAGAGGGCTTCGAGGAAACAAAGCGGGCGAAAGGCCGCAAGGAACCCGTTCAGGGGGAGACAAACAACAGTGCGCAGAGTATTTACAGTAGTGGGTTTGAATAAAAACAGTTAATACCGCAAGCGGCGGTACTGATGCGTGTAAAAAATGTAAACTGCAGCTCTGAGCTATGCCTCGGCTTATATCTCATTGCGTGCTCATCATCTTTGAATCAGAGAGCTTGCGATCGTTTGCGCATTAGCTTGTGCGTCGGCTTGGCTTGGTTGATAGCTGTAGGAGTCTGCGGGAAGGCGCAGCACCTCTACGTTTGGAGCTTGCTGGTTTCTATCCAACATCCAACGCATCCTTCGCAAGGTGCCTATGTTCAAGTCCATTTCACAGGTCCCTACCTTTTCTTTTCCTACAATTCGCTCAGCCATTTTGTTGGAAGTTGTCTGGTAGATGTCCTCACGAGCAGACAAACACAGAGACCTTGGACTCCTGGATCCTTTCAAGGCCCTGAACCTCTCAAATCCTAAGTCAAAGCCCTAAACCCTCAACCCATGCCTTCAGGCCTACTTGCAGCTGCCTCAAAACTGTCGTCACACGTATTACGAACATCTGCTCTTGCGTGGCTTCTTTTGGAAGCTGAGCAGGGCAGGAGCTAACCAGTAGTTATCCCTTCTCCGACTAACAAACCTCCCACATGCCCACCATTAGGCGTGGGGAGGTTGAATATTAGGGGAAAGGATAACTAAACTTCACCCGGCGCCGGTATCTAAAGAACATTTGTATGGACTTAAGAATACAAACATGCGATTGAATAATCAGGCAGGAACGTCAACATGCACTGGCACAGACCAGAAGCAAGCAAGCAAGCAAATGACAAAGCAGGATGCGAGGCCCACTAACAAGCAAAACACAAAAAGAGCAATGATGCAGGACGCCCGCCCCTGGCTTAAACCAAACACAGCAGCTACATTTGAATTTTAGCCCGGGGAATGTCTTCTGCTGAGGGATAAAAACGTTTTGATTCTAACCAACATGGCAGGCTGAAGTCCTGTATGTGTAGAACTGGCCCATGGTCAGTTGTCCACATGCGATGAACCAGCAGGAGAGACCTGCAAAGAACTGCAGAAACGCAAGAAAAGCCTTTGCTGTCAAGGCCAGCCATGCTTTCCAGTGCCAGGGTGCATAGCAATGGCACGTCAGAGAGGGCATCATTCCTGAGGATGCACGCAATGTCAAGTCAGCAAGCACTCCGTCACTGTAGGCGAGTCTCAGTAGAGTCGACACAAAACGAAGCGCAGTCTCCTGCCAGCCATGGCTCATCAAACAGCTGCCTTGACAGCGGTGTCTTCGATTCACAATCCATCAGAGCTCTTGCCGAAATATTGCAACACAGTTTTGCACAGTCTCCTTGAAGAGAGTCTGCTCTATGACCTGTCAGCTATGCAAGACATCAATGTCTCTGCGAGTCCTTTCGAAGAACCTGAAATGTTCACTCGAAAACCTCCCGAAAAGAGCCCCTTTCTGCCTGCAGCGCTGCAGCGCTGCGTTTCGCTTCGTCTTGCTTCGAGGCTTTTTGACTGTTTGAAGAACGCTTTCGCTTCTTGTCCTACAACTCCCTAAAAAACTCCTAAGGACGGGGGAAGGTGACCTGAAGCCAAACACCTGGCGAAACTCCGTAACAAAAGCGTCTTGGGCCTTCAAGTACTTGTTGGTGGCCTGGCAATACTCCTCGTCACTTCAAAGGATATACTGGGCCTTTGAGATGTGCCGTGGTAACGGTCAAGCTGTGGCACTGCGCGGCTCAAGTTGTCCTCTACCTCTGTCTTCTCTGCACCAGCAATCTGCACAGCTCGGACATTGGCGATCGCCTGCGAGGCTCTGCCCTGAAAAGGCCATGTTGGAGCTCATAATACGAGTTCATTATGCTGCCAGGTTGGCATTATCGCAGCTCAAGGAAACGATGTGCTCTCAGTGGTGTTGGCGAGCAGCATTTGGAGCGAATGAATCCGGCAGATTTCAGGTTTGGTATCTGTCGCGTGTTTCCGTGGACTTCGCGGAATCTTCAAATTGGAGGCAGACGCCATCATCGGCCTCGGAAGCAACAGCATTGACGCGAGCTAGGGAATCATTCTGCAAGACGCCGTAGCGGCCGACCACCTGGCGGAGATATGGCAATAGTTTCATATTTGCTGCTCTGAGTTGGGCCGAAGATCTCTCGCAGATTTACGCTGCAAGTCTGGGCCCAGAGCTTTCCCAGTTTTCTTGACCAAGAGAAATGCCAATGGCAAGGGTGCCTGAGGAGGCGTCCAATCAAGAAGCACCAAGGGTGTGCTCCATGATGGTCAATGTCGGTCACACCAGGGCAAGCACCACACTCACCAAAGTTAGCAGGACGTGCTGCTGTGCCATCAGCACAAGAGAGACCACCTAGGGCAAATTCAGAGCTCTGGCGTTACGATGCTCACCTCAATGTACCACTTACCTCACACTGGGGAACATACCAGGCGCATAACGTTGGTGACCAAAGTCTCTGGTGCGCGGTTTAGCACCTTATCTTGCTGGGATCCAAACCAAGACATGTCTACTCATTTCGCAAGATTGGAGCAGCACCCGTTCATCCAAAAAGGATCCAATGAATCATAGGAATCAGGGTGTACGTATGCAGGAGTCCGAAATAGAAGCTCCCCTGCAACCACAAGACCCATTTCTTACGCGATAGCTGAGGGACAGGCGTTCTGGAGTTGATCAGTATCATTTGTCAACCTTCCCATGGTCAACACAACTGGTGACTAGGCGCTGCTGGAAGAATCCTCTATGTTCGGCACCGTAGAACACTACATCTGCAACGCTTGGGCACCAATGTTTTCACCAAGTGGCATTCATATAGAGCCCGCCTGCTCTGTATGGTATGATTAGACACTATACTGGAATGAAATCCGGCGAGGCTCCAAGCCGCGGGCGTTAGGCTCCGCTTCTTTTGCGTAACTAGTGGTAGAACTGCATGGAAGACAGCTCGCTGCCTCTCTCCCTCTCACCCCTCTCCTGCTGGTCGTCAAAATGCGGGTCTGAGGGTGTCTAGCAAGGCTACAAAGGAGAACTCTTATGATGGTTGTTAAAGCTAGGATTACAATTGGTGGTTTTGGATGTTTGACAGGGGCCAAGGGGCCCACCAAAAGCACGCAACACTGGGTCTGGCATGCTTTGCAAAATCATGCGGCATTGCGAATGGCTGGGCATGGTGCGCATTACAAGTTGCATTTGTTAGTTTATGCAAGGGGTTGAGGAAGGGATGTAGGCGCATAAGGGGGATGGATGTCTACCTAGGTTAGAGGCTGTGCTACTCTACCCGCTTGGGGCGGCGCGGGCTAGTTGACTAACTGCAGCTGGATAAAGAAGCATGCCTTTCCATCAGACCAAGTAGTCCCGCCTTGAAACCAAGGCTCCGCTGGAGTTCTGCTCAAAGAATCCGACTTCTTGTCGAATCAGAGCCTGTGAACTTTTCAGAAGGCTCTTCATCAACACTGCGCAGCCAGCGCAGCCAGTTTTTGCATGCTAGCACTGCAACTGAAACTTATCCGTGCTGCGCAATAGAATCCACCTTGAAGAGCTTCTGACGCATGGACATGGACATCTTCCACCTGCTCCAAAGTCGCAGGCAGGGTTTGTCAGAGGTCCCTGGCTGTATGCAGGTCCACACTGGCATGCGACCAACGGCAAGAGTTACCAACTGAAGGCTGAATGCTCTACAACATAAGTCATGGTTTATGAGATGATATTGAAAATTCCAGCCAAAACACTCAAGAACTCCGGAAGCACCTGGCCAGAGCGAAAAGGATGCCCTGCACGACATTGGCCTGGAGTGAGTATTGACGAGATGGCACAAGTTTGGCATAGGCCGCACGTCCATCTGCTTGTTCCCCTGTCTTTTACGTGAGATGTAGTAGAACGTTCTGACTTCCGCAGATGTCTACTTCGGGCTCAACTTGAACTAGTGCAGTAGCAAGTATTCATCCTGCTTTGGACGAGCAGCGAGAGAGGGTGTCAACAAATCGTGTGCTCCGCGACAGCACTAGCTTTACTGCAATACCACGCTCTGTCGTGGTGTATACTGATAATGCTGGATCTGAACCATTATCATTTGGGTCCTGGTAGGTCAGCATCCTGCTGCAGGGCAAAGTTCCCAGAGCAACCATGAACAGCTCTGCTCGTGTGCACCATGTCTCAGCACTTGGGCACGCGGCCATGTAGCCGTAGAGGGCACATGCGAAATAAAGGCCTGCCAGGATGAGACTCATGGGACTGCGCAGGGCCCGAGGCGTTCTTGATTCTGCGGCAAACCTCGCCTGCAATAGGCGCCAAGGCGGCAAAGGCACCTGAAGGATCACTTCCGTTCCGCGCGAACTCCAGCGCAATGTCCAAAAGGCGGCCGGTCAAGAAAGCCCTGAAGTCAGAATTGGCAAGGCATGGGACGGCTCTTGAGTGATTGGGTGCTGACTTTCATCACTTTCCGTGGACAACTTGCCTGAGTGAAGCTGTGCCGGCCAGCGACATTGAAATTAGAGTGGCCGGGATCAGCAGAAGCGGCTTGGCCTCCATGCTTCGAAAGGTCACGTAAACACAAGCCCGCTTTGTGTGTACTGCTCTGTTTCTACTAGGAAGTCGTGCTAAGAATTCCCGGCTTTCTCGATTGCGAAAACATCTGGAACAGTTCTTCTACTCATCAGCATACCCTGAGATTCGCTCAATCCCCTCTATTGCAAACTCCTCGGACAGTGATGAGTAATGGACCTCAGAAAATTGCTTCTTTGCTTACATGTCTTTGGAAAGCCCCTGTGAAGTCCCTTCCCTCACCTGACTTCCCCAAGCTTTTCAGTTCCAAGCTGAGATTATCTGAAGTTGTTCGGCAATAGCGTAATTAAGACTTGAGAAGAGGGCCACGAAAGCTAGAGTGCATGAGCGGGGCTTAAAGCCGTCCGGGTCAAGTTGAGGCTTCGGATTCCCTAGATGCCACAGCCCAAAGCCAGAGGGAGTCCTACAAAGCCAGGTTAGTAAAGGCCTCTGATGTCATGGCCTCGCATACGTAAGTTCTTACAACGTTAGGAACTTGTAGGACTCTGCGAGATGATCAAAGCTTAAGGTGGGGCTGAGGGGGGTGGGAGGCGTGAGGGTGGGGAGGGGTCAAGGAGGGCGGAGGGGCCCCTTTCCTGTACATCATTTATGTGAGCCGCCGAACCTCCTCAAGTGTTGATCCTGACCCACTAAACATCAAACAACAACTTACGGCAAGCTATGAAAGAGCTTTGGTGATAAAGCTTCCAAGTCGGTGAGAGCAGCTTGAGCTGACACTTTTCATGCACTGCAGCCTTCAAGATGCATGCTTGCTTTGCTTGAACGACTCCTTGTAGCCCAAATGTGGTATGTAGAATAGAAGCATGACCGACGCAGAAGTGTGCAAGATTTGACAACGCGATGGACTGGAACGGAACCTTGCTTCTGTATGTATAATCCCACTTCAAGAAAGATCTACACAACAAGCTTACTGTCATCTACATTATTCCATGACAGGCAATACTAGCAAAGATTAAATTTTGGCACGTACAACTGCGCATCATTCCTGCCTCTGTTTTGAACTCCTCTACCAGGCGGGAGGTCAAGTTTTTGCCTGGCACGAGCATGCACTGTTAAAGCACATGTGGCAAGATTTACCGGGCTTTGAACTCACACGCTGCGGCAACTAGATTGACAGGTCTGGTGACTCCCATAATTGAAGCTGCAGCTCCAACCGATTGCAAGGGCAAGCCAAGAAACAGCAGTAGGCGTCACGATTGCAATGCTAAGCTCCACGTTGACAAGAAACCCTCATGTGTCGGCAACTGCCCCAGGCAGAGCCCTAGCTCTTCCTACCTCGTGGTTGGCTGCGCTGTCTGCTTCTGGGTATCCTGACGTCCGTCAAGTGAAGATTCTGAGGCCATGTTCATGTCGGTCATTGTAAACGAGATTTGCTCCGCAAATTGATGCACGCCTCCTCCGATCGTCTTTTCTTCTGAAAGTTGCAGACGCTGCCGCCACCTGGGCACAACATGCGAGGCCGGTCTGCTGAACAAACGAGACAGGATGTCAACTTTGAAGGAAGTTTCCTACATTTGAATGACCGTGGCTTGTATAGACCGCACGTCGAGGTAGGAGGCTCTCTGCCAGGGTGCACTCGAAATGCCCAACTTCGCAGACAAGCCATCGAGACCTTCCAACGTCCAGATGTCCAGTGCCAGATATAACAGCGTCTAGGCAAGAACGGAAATTTGCAGCTGCCTGAACTGTGGAGAGGATGATTGCTGATGTCGTGCCAGCGAATAGCAGAACCCACCTTCTTGAATGCCAGGGGTTGGCTTGAAGAAAAAGAAAGTGTTGGTAAAGCCTCTGCTGTCGCAGTGCCACGCGGCCTGGAACCATGTTTAATTAAATGTTCACTTCTACTCATCTGTGCAGCAGTGGGTTTCAGCCTCCAAGCCGCTGTCAAAGGCGGCTGACCTGCGAGGATCTGTGAAGCTTTACACTTGCAGTGGCCTACCTCAAGTGTACATTTACAAGATCAGAAGCCGTAGTCTCGCCTCTGGGTCTTGCAGGTCTTAACATCAATTTTGCAGAGATCTCCGCAGTTGCTTTGAACTGCCGAGCTGCCAGGTGGATCGAGACTGCCCTCGCTTCAGTGTTTTTGGTGGTTCGCAGCTTGACTGGTCATTGCTGTTGGGATGCTGAGCTGCAAAAGCTTGGAAACTCCCCCCCACGCGGCGAGCTTGAGTGCAGGTATGATGGGCAGCCCAGGATGCACATGCATGCGTTTGACACACGGGTACTATGATATCTAGCAGATGCCAAAACGAACTCTGGCAAAGCAACAATGCGAATACAACAAATCACCTGCAGGCATGCCTAGTGACTAGGGCATCACAGAGACAATCGCTGTAAGGCTTCAGAAGCCGTTCTTTCCTTGTGCTCCTGCATAGAACGGAACAGCAGTTGGTCAGAAACCGAGATCAGGCAGTTGACGAAAATCGTGCCGCACATGCGGAGCTGGCCATTAGCAGGGCCCTGCAATGAGGGCCCGAAATGTGAAAATGAAAAGGTGGTGAAACGGCGTTGTGAGGAACGAAGGGGTGCTGGCAGCTATGAACCCGAGAGTGCCTGATCAATGTCTGACTTGACCTTAATGATTATGAACCAAGACTGCAAGCAGCTTCAGGCAGTGCCCATGTGCATCTGTTGTCTGCATGAAAGCTCTGAGTGCTCAGCACGTGAAATTCCTTGAACAACGAGACGAGCCACCTGGGCGGAGAAGGCCCGAACGGGTGCAAATGACAGAACGACACCATTCATTGCACGAGGTTATAAGTTACATTTGAGTTGTGAACCACATACGAGTAGAAGGTTTTGAGCCCTTGAAGCCATGGTTAAAACTCATAAGATTATCCTTCCCTGGTAGATCGTTATCTTGCTTTAAGTCCTGGCACACTTTTTGCAAAGAACGATCTGGTGAAAGCATCTACCACTGAGCTCCGCACGAGACGCCCTCCTGCACCTACAGCCTCGTCTCGATAGCCCCAGAGCCTCGACAGCACCTGCCACAAGTGCGTCGTACCAACACTTGGACTGTTGCGTGGTCTGCTTTCGTTGCTGCCTTTGTTGCAATGCTTCGCTGATCTCGAAATGGCCTCCACCACAAGAAGGCTAGACTATGTCGACAAACATCTGCAAATCTTTGCTAGCGAGTCTCATGGCACGGAAGCGCTCGATGATCTCGCGAACCTGACTGCAAATGCAGCCACAAGTGCTGTCACTTGCAATATTCGTGGCTCTTCAATTGCCGTGAATGCCGGTTACAGTGTTCGTAACCTTTCAAGAACCGCAAATGCTGTACAGGCTCCATGACCCTCAAGAGCCGCTACAGCTATAGTTTTTCGTGCTTGTCTTGTCGCCTTTGAAAAACTCCAATTGCTGCAAGTTACAACACTCGCAGTCTTTCAAGATCCGCAATTGCTGTAATTTGCTGTCTTCGTAGCCTTTCAGAAGCTCAATACGCTGCAAGCTACTGTAATCTCGCGGGAGGCCAAACAACCCGGGGCGAGAGGATCAGGGGACCAGAGGACCACAGCAACACAAATAAGAAAAACAACAAATCAAGTAGTCCTCCATCCGTGACTCACCACGAGGAATCATTCACCTGCCACGGCTCCACTTGCTGGCTTTGATCAAGCTGCGCCAGTTGATGGCGATCACAGGCGACTTTAGCCAGGGCAAGTCATTGGCATGGTTCTCGACATTGGACCATACGTTAACCACCTCACCAACTCCCAGCGGGACTACGGCCTCACTATCGATCACATCATGTGCGAAGGTTACCATTGCAAGAACCAGCTTCAATCTCCTCATGCATTCCGTTCCCATCGTTGGCCATGTGTAAGTTTTTGAATTGAAGGATGTTTCCAGCTGGACGGTTGGGGTTGGGTGGGGCAACTTTGGTACGGCTGGGTTTTCCTCTACAAAAACACAAAGTAGCCAACTGGCCCCACCAGGGGATTGTCATCCGCAAAAATCGGGTTGGGGTTGTTCTCGGGGGCTTTGGCCACAGGTCTTGAAGGCAGGGCCTCAGCAATGCTGCTGCCAGCTGACTGAGAGGAACGTGTCGGAAGCAAGTTGGCATGTTGGCAGGCCGTCATGGTACCACTCGCGGCGTTGTTGCTTGGCCTGGGCCACAAATGTCAAAGCAACCATGAGGAGACAGGACAAAGCTAAAACCATTATTGCGTGTAACTTCTGCAGTTTTTGGGGTGAGGGGTTGAGGTTCACTCGCAGTGCGCAGCGTCTGCAACTCAGCCAGCTCATGCCGCGACCGCAAGAGACAATTGGGCTTGCAAGATACTTGGGGTCGAGAGGTGATGCTGCCGCTAGCTCACAGCTCTGCACTGACTGGGAGGAATCTAAGCAAAGGCAGCTCGCATTCGATGCCGCAGTGCTGCCCCGTCTGTGGGAACGGATGGGCACACTTGCACGCGAGATTGCTGTGTGCCAGAAAAAAGCTGGATGGCAACCACACCGAAAACAGGTCCTTGCACATGCTGACCGCGTTGAGGTCATGCGACTAACCCATCACGGCCCATCCGCTCATAAATTTGCAGTGTTTTTTTCCCGGGCTCCCAAAACTGCAGCACCACCCATCAGCGCGAGGGGCCAATCTTTCCAGCCGGCCTTTCTGAAAGCGCTCAGTCGACGCCCGGCAACGATCAAAAAGAGCTTGGCTCCAGTGAGTTCTCGACTTCCTTGTTACATTTTTTTGCCGCAGGAGGCTTGAGTGTCAAGAGATGTAGGTCCATAGTTTGGCAATCTGAGTCTGAGAGCTTTGTGTCTAAGTGTTACGGGTGCAGGGCTGTAGGTTCTTAGGTCCATTTTCTGTGGGTTCTAGCGGAAGGGCTCCAGGTTTCGGGCCTTACTTTTTTTGCGCCAAGCTTCAGTTCTGAGGGATTTGGGTGGTTTGAACTTCTGGAAGGTTAGCACTTAAGCTGCAGGGCTTTAGGTTTTGTTGTTTCATTGGTTTAGGAATCAAGGTTGCAGAGTACTGCCTGTAAGGTTGAGGGTCCTAGAACCTAGGGTTAGAGGTCAGAGGTTTAGGTTCTACGGTTTCAGGGGCTTAGGGCTCCCTGGGTTCAATGGTTAAGTTAAAGATTTAAGGTTAGAGGGCTGTAGAGTCCAGGTGTCGGGAGTTTGGAATCTTAGGTCTTAGGTTTACAGTTGAGGTTGAATTGGGCTGTTCGGGTGCCCGTTTTGTCATCTAGGCGCTTCTGGTAAATCCCTTACACTTCTTGACAAAGGCACGAACACCCATTGGGTCGGCAGCACCGAAAACCACGCATAAGATCTTAGCTTTCGCCATGCGTGCATCTGCATGGGACCACATGGGCAAGGCTGAATTACCACCGCCACCGCCACCGCTGTCTGCCTGCACCGCAATCCCTACAATCATGACAACCGCGTGGGCAACACAATAATATGACTGCGTCAAAAATTGTCTGGAATGAGTTCTCATAATTGCCCTAGTGCTGGTCGCGGCTTCTTGCCCCACACTCTCCAAGTCCTAAAAACTCAATGCCTGAAGACCACTGGACCCTGATTATCGCAAACTTTGGGATGAAGCCACGTGCCAAAATCCTCCCAACCCCGTCGACCCCCTTCGCCTCCTCCTACCGCTTCAACAATTACTTGTTTAAATAAATCATGCAGGGGTAGGTCGCGGCATCTGCCGATGACTCAGTCTGAATTTTCGCGAGCCCGCGAAGCACTTTACAATTCGCATTGGTAGGGTCGCCTGAGCTCTCAATCCCAGGGTGGAAGTAGGCGAGTCACTTAATGGCATCTGTGTCTTGATCTGGAAAAATGCGGGGGAGCATGAAGGAGTCATTTCCCGACGGGCTCTCAAGCAGCTGCATGTCTTTTCAAGGCCCCAAGGGGTACCCACCCGTGGAATCATTTTCGAAGAATTCCGTTGGATGCTCCGCAACCGACTGGCGCTGCTACTCCTCTGCTACGACGATCACTGGGATGCCTGCGATTGAGGATGCCAAGCTGGGTTGGTGGATGCTGGCAGGACAAACTGAAGGGGGAGGCAACCTTACGGACGACCGTCACAATATAGTCACCTCTCCAGATTTTTATGTCTAAATGCGTCTTACTTAAATGAGCGTTAGTCGCAGTCGGGTGTGATGCATTCACGACCAGGACGCCCAGCAACTGGATCTCGACAGTACCGACCAAACCCGAAGCTGCCCGAGAAAGCGGGCATGCCCTGCTCACACTCACACTAGATGCAGGATTATCCCGCATCAGTAACTCAACATCCTGAAAGATACAACATAGTCCACCGGCGTTCTCGACTGCCCTTGAAAAGC